TATTAAACTCATCCTGAAACGTAACAGAGCAGGCCCGTCAAGTGGAGGACAGAGGCAGTGTGAGTTGTTTAGGAGAACATGATCTGTAAGACTTTTAACCGGCAAAGATCTGGAGTCAGATGCATAGTTCAGTGTTGACTGCTCAAAGATGATGCTGTTGGTCTGTCGTGTGAGATGTTAATAATATGTTTCTGGGGAACAAGATGATCGACATTTCTAGATGTAAAGGGATAAAATAATTCACAAATTCGATACTGTGTCTACTCCTCCTTTTTTATCTAGAATTTATCTCTTCATAAAAATCCTTGCGGTGAAATTTCTGAATCATGGGGTTTCTGTAAATTCCATTCAAATTGTCGCATGTCATTCTAACCTAAAATCAGTCGACGGTGTGATTTTATACTCTGTAAGTAATAAACGTATGGGTACATCCAGTGAAACTGTAAGTAACCAGTAGTGAACGTAGCTTGTAATGGCATGAACGCGTTGCTGAAATCATCTGTTTCTTAAAACCCAGTTTGAAAAAGATTATCTTTATTTACAAAGAATGGTACAGTATAATCTTCAGAAGGCAATATTGTTCTTGTTCATGATGACACACAATATTGAGTGACCCGTAATAACTTTTTTCACTAGCGCTACGAAGCGTCTGTCATCAAATACTAACTCACCTCAAATCTAAGTCCCCGTTGCCTTTCTCAGATCCACCTTGTCATCATCCTTTGATCAGACCTGTCTCTTTAGAAATATGTAACTGGTAGGAATGTACTGGTTCATGAAGAAAGCAGAGGAGAATTCTGATGTAAAAGTATAGCACTGACTCTAGTTCTGCATCGAACCACAAGGCAAACTTAAACCCATACCATGTTTGCACAGACCTGAATCTGCTCATCTTTTCTCAAAACGTGACCTTCACCAGAATATAAAATAAAACCAACAGAGCATTGAGGAGTGTCTGGCAGCCATGTACCTCCTCCCCTCCCTCATATTTGACTCACACAGCAGCACTCTGGCAGTGCTCTCATAAGAG